AATCCCCTCCAGGAAGGAACTGATTCCCCAGCTGCGGGGACAGCCGTGGGGCCGTGGCCCTCAGCTCTCGGGCCTCTTTAGGGTTTGCCCTGGCTGAGGAAGCGCCTCCCGTAAGGTCATGTCTTCAGGGGCAGCCTGAATCCAGCGACTGGTCAACATGGGCTCTAAGGCCCTGGCCCTTTGCTCCAACTCAGGACAGCTCTGCAGGCCCCCAGCTCCAGCGCTGCCGTGCCATTGCCTGGGGCCTCTGTCGCCTCACTTCTCCTCCTCCCTGGAGCTAAGCTGTCCTAGGACGTTCTTGCCAAGGCTGTGAAATGGAAATTTCATGTGTCGCTTTCAGGAACACCCTGTAATGGCAGACAGTGCCCCATTTCAATCCTCCCTTCTTCCTGTGGCTGGAATGCAAACGTGATGCTGGCACCTGAGCAGTCACCTTGGACCATAGGGGTGGCAGCCAAGCGCTGAGGATGGTGGAGCCACCAGCTCACGGGAGCCTGGCTCCCGAAACTGAGGAGCTGCCACACCAGCCCTGCGCTGCCCACCTCCAGGCTTCTTCGCAAGTGAGAAAGTGGCTTCTATCTTGTTTAAGCTGCTCCTATTTTATTGTCACTATTTGCAACTGTGACAATGCAAATTGCATCTGAAATGAATCCTAACTGATACCATCATGACAAATGATATTCAGCATCATCCAGACATAAATGATCGAGGGGCCAAAACAGTAACACCATACCCTCGACACCTCCTAACCCAGAGGGTGGGGCCAGTCCCAGGACTGCAGGCTGCAGGTGTTCGTGGTTCTTCTCCGAGGACCATGTTCTGGTGACAGGATCCAGGGGGCAGCCTTGGCCCAGACCCTCCCCACATCATGCCAGGCAGGGGCCCCCTGCAGAACCGGAGAACCATCGTGCTCCTGGCATCCGTGTCTCTGAGAAACTGGGCAGCGGAGAGGCAGAGGCGCTGGCTGGATTCTTCCTCTTCCACATATTACCACACCCCCACTTTCCACATGGGGAAACCGAGGCTCAGCAAGCAGGTGGCAGAGCTGAGATTTGAACCAGACCTTGGCCGTCCTGCACTCAGCAGGAAGGAGGCTGGCTGGGGAGCCAGGGCACGGTCCAGTGCTAGCCTGGGGTGGGGGCTGCAAGTCCTACTCACGTCTGTGCCAACACCCACAGACCAGAGCCCAGTGTCCTCCTCCTGGAGCCCCCACAGTGGCCTGGGGAGTCCAGTCCCTGCCTTCTGCCTGGGCCTGATTCCAGAGAGACCCTCTGCTTCCTCCTGTCCCATCCAAGGCTCAAAGTCACTGGGCCCTGGCTGTCTCGGGTTACCTCTCCTTTGCAATAGGAGCTGGAACATTTGTTGGGCAATCAAGTTCCGGTAAAGGGGAAGGAAGGGGCAGCCAGTGGAAACCTGCCCTGGGGACATGTAACTGGATCCCCAGAAGGTGGTGGCTCATTTCTAACTTGTTTCTGGCAGGTGTGTTTACAGATGTTTTGGCCAGGACTGAGGAAGATGAGGCTCCATCCGTTACTGCGGGCAGCGGGTACGGGTGGCCTGGCAGGGGGCCCCAGGCAGGCAGGCAGGCTGTCGGTTACTTAGCGAACCCTCTGGGCTGGCCAGGCACAGGCAAGCGGGGAAGTCGCCTTCCCAGCCGCTCTGGGGTAGGGGAACTATTAATAATTCCCCCTTGCTGGTGTATCAATATTCAACTTCTTGTTTAAATATTAAATTGTAACATCCTCCATCTGTGTGCCTGAGACTGAGGGTAAGGGAGCCATCTTGGACTTTGTTCCTGGAAGTCTGGTGTCGTGGTTCGCTTGTTCCTATGTCTCTGCTTGTCCTGACTTGGACTGCCCCAGTGCGAGGCATGCTGGGAATTCCGTGTGAGGTTGGGGTCTGGACGGGCCCAGGCTCGGGCGCCTGACCACAGGCCTGAACGCAGGCGTGGGCTGCGCTACTGCGGGGCGGGCGGGGAGGCGCAGCCACTTCCGGGGTGGGCGCAGCAGCCGGAGGAAGCCAAGGTGGTGGGTGAGACGTGAGCTCAGAGGGGAACATGGTCCCCACGGCCGTAGTCCATCCCCTGACGTTGGAACCCAGCCCTGGCTCCCACCAGCTTCCAAGGAGAGAAACAAGATCAGAGAGGAGGCTGCCGGCTGCCAGAAACGACTAAGAGTGGCTGAAACTAGGAGGGGACTCACTGTCCCACATGACATGTTGGCTAAGGAACCCTGTAAGCTGTTGTAATAAAAAGACCCCAGAATAGAGCCGCTGAAATAGGTGGAAGATTGTTTCTGTGTCACATCACAGTCCCAAGGTAAGTGCCCCAGGAATGATGGGGCCACCCTGCCAGCCACAAAGTGTGGTCTAAAAAGTGCTCCAGTTGCTGCAGTGTTCCAGCCAGCGGAAGGCAGGGAAGAGAGTGCCCAAGACAAATGCCTTTACAGGAGTTGTGAACATCACTCTGCTCACATCCCCTTGGCCTGGGCTTAGTCCGTGTGTCCCGCTGGAACTCAGTATGTTCCAAGAGGATCACAGAGGATCACAGAAGACTGGACACTAGAGACAGTCAACGGCAGCTGCCACACACCGCGAGGAGTCTGTGCCGCCAGGGTTGGTTAATTCAGCAGCTGGTTGGCGTTTTCCTGTCTTCAAGGATCCAGTGTGTTGACTTTTGGTCTCAGGTTTGTCCCCTCATGACCTCAAGATGCTACCATTGCTCCGAGCATCACACCCTTATGCAAAAGGCAGAGAAGAAACGTTCCTCGCTTCTGTCTATGAAAATGCTCTCAGAAACCCCCCTTGCCAGCTGACTTCCCCTCTTGTTGGCCTGAATGACAAACATGCCCACTTCCACTCCGATTACTAGCAAAGGGCGTGGACTGCACGGGCTTAGACCAATTGATATTCGCCCCCAGGGCCTGGGGAGGTCCCCACTTCCTCCATAGCCCAAGGCCACCTGAGAGCTAAACAAAATTGAGGTTCCTTTGGCAATTGGTACCAAGTCAACAAAGTCCTCCTGGCACTTCCTGCCTGCTCTGCCCCAAGCCAAGCCGCAGACATTTATGCACACGATTTCATTCATCCTGTCCCCAAGAGGACACCATCTGCACCATACAGATGAGGAAACTGAGGCTCAGAGAGATCAGGGGACTTGCCTAAGGTCACACAGCCGGAACCAGCAGAGTTGCAGTTCCACCCCAGTGGAGGTCAGTCCTGGGACAAGTGTTTCTCAGTTCTAAGACCAGCAAGATTATACCTTATGAAACATTTCACGATGGTGTGAACGGTGGAGCATTTTTGTAGAGACACAAGTTTTATTCTACATTGAAACTGAATGTACCTCTCACAGTACCTTAATGCTCTTTGCAAAACCATCCTTTTATGTTGCTTTGCTAGAGCTGGTCCCTTCTGGGCCCTCAGCTCAGCGTGGACCAAAAGGAACTTCTTGAGGCCCCCACGTAGCCACCTGGATGCCCCTGTGGGAGCCTGGGCCCAACCCCAGGAATGACCCTGAGAGGGACCCTGAGCCAAGAGCGTGCAGTTTAGTGAGGTTGTTGAAGGCTGCAGAGGGAAGTGGAGCCAGGTCACGGAGGGCCTTGAATGCCAGGCCCAGGCTTTGTTCCATGGGCAACAGGGAGTCATAGAAGAGCTTAGGGTGAAGGGGGAGAAGTGTGTATTTTACCTCTGTAGCCAGCACACAGTAGGCACTCACTCTACAATGTCAAAGCGTGTGACTAATGAAACAACGCTCCACTCTAAGAGGGCACCTAACTTGCTTGTGTACATATAGTTATAGATATTAATATTCTATTTATTATTAAAGTAAAGCCTGCTCATTTTAAAAACAATTTTTAAAGAGGGGAAATGATGTTGTGGTTGGAGAAATACTGGACTTACAATCCATTGTTTTCACAAAAACATCACTGCTCTTGAATACCTATAGAGCCAGGGAGCTCACCTCCTCACTAGGCTGCCCGAGAAGGTTCTGTAGGCAGAATTCAAAGGGCGCCAAAGAGCAGCCTGCTGAGCCCCGGCAACTCTGGCAGCACCCCCAGTCCTCCAGGAAGGGCTTCTCCAGCCTGGTGGCAGCTTCCACCATGCCAACCGGCTGGGGCCTCGCCCTGCGGGAGCAGATTTTCCCCTGGGCCAACCGGCTGGGGCCTCTCCCGGGATCCTGGCCAGGCATCCCGGGTGAGGCCAGAGGGACCCCACAGGCCCTCATGCCTCCCTCATGGGGACCCCTCCGAGGCCTGGCAGCAGCTCGCCCCTGCCCTACTGGTGGGCTCCTCAGTGCCCTCATTTGGCCCTGTTTAGGTTAAAACATTCAGGGTTATTATGGGTTGGGGATGAGAGTGGGCTGGTGCGACCCAACCCAGGTGTTTGTGAGCCATGGAAAATGAGGTGGGAAAAGCAGCTCCTCCCTCCCCCACTGCAGTGGTGGCCTGTCCCGTCCCCAGGGCACGTGGGAGCCCTTCCATCGCAGGCAGGTTGCATGACCTTGGCGAAGTCCCCACCAGCCTGTCCCAGCTGCTTCCCCATCAGAGCGGAGCTGACGAGGGCTGCGTGGGTGAACGTGCGTCACCAACCACAAAGCACTAGGTGTCAGTGGGTCACTTTTATATTTATTATTCTATGTTTATAATGGGGGGAGGTCTTTAAAATGCTTATCCTGAGCCAAAAGAGCCTCCATGCCCCCACGCCCAGGCGGGTGGGCAGCTAACACGTGTCTCTGTCGCAGCATGTCTAGAAAGCAGAAAGGGTGGGCAGGAGGGCCTCCCTGCAAAGAGCCCCCAGCCAGCTCTGCCCGCCTCCGCCCCTGCCCACCCCGTCGGAAACCCTCCCGACCCCTGGGCTCTGGGGCTGGGTTTGGGCCGCCAGCCCACCAGCTGCCTCCTCCCCTCCGCCGGGGACCTCTCCTCTCCTTCCTGTCCCCTCTGCACCTGCTGCTCCAAGCTCCCCTCACCAGCACCTCGGCCTCAATGCCTGGCTTCACCTGGCTGCCCAGCACCATGTGGGAGGTGCTCTGGGGTCTGCTCTTCTCGCCTGTCGTCTAGAAGGCCTGGGACACTCACCGAGCTCACTCCAGCTGGCTCTGGTGCCACTTGTCAGCACTGGCCCGAGACAGGGCACTGGCCCACAGGTGTTCACAGCCTCCCCAGGGCCTGCTGTGGCGCTCCAGCAACGACTCCTCAACAGCCTGGGCCAGCCAGCGGCCCCAGCTCACACCTCCCTGTCCCGGGCCCTGCCACCTTGCCCCGAGGGAAGGGAGGCCAGGCACCCCTCTCCATCAGGAGTGGGGGGGCGGTGGCCTGGTGAGCCCCTCACAGGTACATCTTCATGGCCTCGTGCGTCGTGGGGCAGTAGCGGGCATGGAGCTGGGCCAGCAGCACCCTGGACGTCGCCTCGAAGCGCGTGCCCTGGCTCTTCTTGTTCCACACGTGCACGGCGTAGGTGGCATTGAACAGCCGGGCCAGCTCCTCGGGGCTGATGTCCTCGAAGTACTTCTTCCAGTTCTGCCAGGGGATGGGGTAGAAGGCCTCGGGGGGCAGGGTGGTGACGCCGCGGCAGGAGCGGCTCTCACTCAGGCTGCGGATCGGGCACCACTTCTTGAAGACCCGGGTGAGCAGCTGCGGGCCCTGGTGGCCCCAGATCCAGCCATTGTAGTGGGCCACGAAGTCACGCATGCACAGCGCCATGAACGCGTGCCGGCGCTCGAAGGCCAGGAAGGCACCGTTGAGCACATAGCGGGACTGGGTGCCCAGCACGTTGGTCAGGTTCCTCAGGCTCTTGAGGACGATGAAGTCAGTGTCCAGGTAGATGCCCCCGAACTTCCACATGAGTGCGATCCTGCAGGCGTCGGAGAGCACCGGCAGCAGGTAGGGCTCCCACCGCCCCTGCGCGGCCGCGTACCAGGTCGCCAGCGGTGTGTCCCAGAACAGCTCCTCCAGGTCCAGCGGGAGCATCTGGACGTTAGGGAAGCAGCCCAGAAGCGAGAGGCCCAGGTGCCGGGGCAGGGAGGCGTTGCCGCTGGGCAGCCCCTTCATGAGGACCGTCACCCGGGACTTGGGGTGAGTCCTGGCGGCTGACTCCACCGAGCACATGAACAGAAAGTTGGGGTTGGTCCGGTCCGAAGTCTCTAGGAAGAAGATGTTGCCTGGAGTGGGGGTGCTGGAGGGTGGGGTGGGGGGTGCCGAGAGGGGGCAGGGGATGTCTGCAGGCAGGTTATAGAGTTGCCCTTGGTCCTTGGGCTCTCCCACAACGTGCCAGTAGATCACGATGGAGACGAAAAACGTGAACTTGAAGCCGATGATGAACAGGGTGCAGACCCGCTGCCTCGGGGCGCCCCGCAGCAGCCGCGGCAGGAGGTCGGGCGCCTTGAACATGGTCTCCCAGATCCCACCAGGAGCCTCCAGCAGGAACTGGCTGGTCTGCAAGAGAGGAGCATCACCGTTTAGGCAGGCCGGTGGCATTCCCGACCCACCAGAAAAATGCTTCCCACGAAATCAGCGGGAGCCAACGCCAGCTTCCAAAGCCCATACCCAGATGGGCCTGGGCTTGAATCCCAGCCGGCCAGCTGCTCACCTGTAAAACAGGGGCACAATGGCCATGGATTGAGGTCTGAGCAGGGACACTCTTCCCTCTGAAGCACACCTGTGAGCTCCCAAAGGACTGTCAGAAGCGATGGTTTTGCCACGTGCTACACAGGGCGTTCTCCCTGGCGAGGCCCGGCTCCCTCCACCTGTTAGGGCTGACAGCCTGGGATTTGAGGCCCAGCTCATGCGCCCCTGAGCTCCATGAACCAGGCCTGGGTTCATCCAAGGGCAGACTGCTAAGCAGCCCTGATGACTGTCAGCTTGAAGCCCGGGGCTCCGGCAGGCCTGGGCGCTGGCTCACTAGGGCTGGCACGGCGAGCCATGCATAGCAGGATGCTCGCTCCAGGCATGTGGGATGTGGCTGCGCCCCAAAGTCCTTTCCCCAGATGTGACAGGGTTGCTTGGCCCCCCGGCGGCCCCAGCCTGGGCTCTGGGCTGTGGAGACACAGGTCTGGAGTGGAAAAGGGACAGGGAGGTTATGCTGCAGTCCATGACCTTGACCAGTATTATTGCCCTTGGACCCTCACTCTCGCCTGGTGATGTCCGCTTGGCCAGTAACCAGGAACATTCCCAGGTGCCCCCCGAGTGGCTGCGGGAACAGGAGAGGCATGGGCCATGCTCCTGGGTGTGGGGCTGTGTGACCTGGGGCAGGCCACGGAGCTCTGTGCCTCAGTCTTCCCGCCTGCAGGACTGGAACCCACCCAGGGGTTACAGTTTCACACGTGCAATAAGCACTGGCTGTCCATCCTGTACCTGCCAGGTGACTCTCCAAGAATTTCACACACATGAACTTGTTAAACCCCTACCCCCTGCTGTGGGGTGGCAATCACCACCCCCACTTTACTGACCAGGAAACGGAGGCACAGAGAAGTTCGGTGCCTCGTGCAGAGTCCCACAGCAAGTGTCAAGCAGGGGTTAGAACTCAGGCCAACTGGCTCGGGTCTCTGCTCTCACCACCGCACCACCCTGCCCGGAGTAAGGGCACCGCAAATTCGCGGGAGGATCTCAGGACACGTTGACCTGAACCGTTAATAGTGATCCTGCCACCACTCACTCGGTTCCTTCTACGTGTCACACCCGCTCCGCCCTCAGCCACCCCAGGGGCAGCTGCATCATCTCTACTTTAGGGGCCTGGAAACTTGGGCAGAAAGAGGTTGAGGGACTAGGTGTAGCCCGGTGCTAAGGGGAGCAGGGGGTCAACCCCCTCACGGTCTCATCCACAGCCCGAGGGTGGTGCCAGGAGCCCGGGGCTCGAGCAGTGGGGCTGGGCCCCTCATCAGGGCGAGGGCAGGGAACACCGAAGACAGTAACTGACCAGCCCGGGCGGCCCATCGCAGACAGGCAGGGACCCGGGCGGCCCGCAGGCCTCCTGGAGACACGTGCTGGCTCAGCAGCCAGACTCCGCTGCCAACGTGGACACGGCCCTTCCGCGCACTGGCAGCGCCGGCAGGTCCATCTGCAAAAGATGGTGAGAAGAAAGTGAGGCGGGTCTCTGGCTCTCAGGGGCCTCGTTCCCCTGGCCACACAGGCAGGCTGGGCCTGGGGCTCATTTCTTCACTCACTCACTTGGCCCCCAGGGAACACTTAGGAATGGGTAGGCCCTGCATCGGCGGGAGGGGGCGAGGGAGGAGCGCTCAGGCTGGGGGGCGCCGTCTGGAAACAGACAAGAACGAAATCATCCATGAGGACTCCCCGAAATCATCCACGAGGACTCCCCGGTGGCTTCCTGGGGGAAGTGACACTTGGTCTAGCACCAGGGGTGAGCGGGGAGAGAGTCAGATGCAGGCGGCGGCAGCAACTCTGGACCTCCGCAAGCACCGCGGGGCAAGCGTCAGCTGTGCGCCTGCACCCTCTCTCTCGGTGGCCGGTGGAGGACACCCAGTGTGAACACGGCAACACTCGCGCGGCCAGCTCACGCGTCAACTCCCCTCTCGGCAGCCAGAGGGACACTTTAAAAATACGAGTGGGCCACACGCTGAGTGATGGGGGAGGCCCAGGTCCCAGGCCTCGAGTGTCCTGCACACCCTGACCCCGTGTCCCACGCCTGTCCCTGCTGCCTCTGCCTTGGCCACACCTGCCTCCTGGCTCTTTCTCAGACCTCATGCTGCCCCTGGGCACGTCCTTCCCGCAGGTGCTCACGGGGCTTCCCTCACTCAGGTCTTCACTCGAAATCACCTTCCCACTGGGGCCCTCCGCGGTCCCCATAGAATTTCAACCCCTCCATCCCTTCCAGCCCTTCTCCGGTGTCCTCTCGCCAGCACCAATTCTTACGGCGCATTTTACTTCTCGTTTTGGTTATCTACTTGGAAAACCCCGTAAGGATAGGTATGTTTTGTGAGTTTTGTGTTTTGCTCAGCATCTAAGACGGTGGAGCAGTGCCCGGCTCTCGGTACGTGGTGGACACGTAGTGACCGAGTGAGCCAGTGAATGATCAGTGAGTCAGCGAACGAACCTGCGAGTGAGCGAGTCAGTAAGTGACCTGTTGGGGGGGGTTGATGAACGAGCAGATCACTGAGCCAGAGAGAAGCTGGGGTCACAGCTGGGGGGCTGCCTGGGATCTCCAGCAGGGTCCGCAGCACAGAGCTGTGGCGTAAAGCAAGAGTCTGTGTCCCCCGTCCCGTCTTTCTTCTGCAGGGACAGGGGCTATTTTGGTCCTGAGTATCTTTAACCCAATGTGGGCCACACCGATGTGTGGACAGACGGTTGGACAGCTGGCCAGCTGTAGGGTGAGCCCCTGGCTGCTTTGGCCCGTAGCACTGGAATGATCTGACTGCCGAGGGGTGGGGTGGGGTCTGGGCCCAGTGAGGGGCAGGATGTGCCACCAAAGTCATGCCTGACCACAGGTGGGGGTGGCTGAACTCGGGCCCCGCCATATTTGGTGTCGGAGCCCAAGATCCAGGAATAGAAACTGTGTATGGGGCCAAGTTGGCCAGAGCCCAATACCCGTGTGACCTCAGGCCGGAAGCATGCTCCTGGGCCCCTGGGTGGGCCTCGCAGGTGCAGCCTAAGTCGTGGGCCTGTCAGCTGAGCCTGGCACTTCTCTGCTGCTTTCTCCTGCCTCCAGCTCACCCCTTCCCGCCCTGTAGTGGGGGGACATTCCCAGTTAGCAAGTTAATTGTGGTCGCTCTGCTGCTCCAGCCCTTCGTCAGAATGGAAGTGAAGGCTGAAGACAAGTACATGGCACTGGAGACAGAGGGCCCGAGGCTGGACCAGCAGTTTCCTCCCAGAACAGAGCAGACGCAGAGGGGACCAGACCTTGCTCAAGCTCCCTGCATTAGCTTCCTGTGGCTGCCAAACAGATGACCACAAACTTGGGGTCTCAACACAGACATTTATTCTCTCGCAGTTCTGGAGGGCGGAAGCCCACAATCAAGGTGTCAGTAGGTCCACACTGCCACTCAGCCTCTAGAGGAAGATCCTTCCACGCCTCTTCTCGCACCCAGTGGCTCCAGGTGCTGCTGGGCTATGGCCGTATCACTCCAGTCTCTGCCTCCATCTTTGTGTGGCCTTCTACGTGGGTCTTCTCTTCCGTCTCGTCTGAGGATGATTGTCATTGGATTTACAGGTAATCTGGGATGATTTGCTCATCTCAAAGCCTTAACTTAGTAACATCTACCAAAAACAAAAAACCCACCAAAAAAACCCCACAAACATCTACAAAGACTATGCAAATGAGGTCACAGTCATAGGTTCCAGGGTTAGGACAGGGACATTATCTTCTTCTTCTTCTTCTTTTTTTTTGAGACAGGGTCTTTCTCTGTTGCCCAGGCTGGAGTGGTGTGGTCCTAGCTCACAGCAAGCTCAAACTCCTGGGCTCAAGCGATTCTCCTGCCTCAGCCTCCCAAGCAGCTGGGTCTACAGGTGTGCGCCACCATGCCCGGCTAATTTTTTAATTTTTTGTGGAGATGGGGTCTCGCTCTGTTACTCAGGCTAGTTATCTTTTTTTGAGGCCACTATTCACCCCACTACAATTCCCTTCCCTTTCTCTGTTTCTGTCCTAGAGCCTCAGAGCGCCTTGTGAAGGAGGAAGCTTGATTCTCAAGTCACGGATGAGGAAACCAAGGCTCAGGGGAGTGGAGTGACTTAGCCAAGGTCACAGAGAAGGTCAGAAACAGAGCTGGGATTAGAACCGGGGTCTCCACCCTGTGCACAGATGTCTTGCAGTCTCGGCTTCAGGGGTCCCCTCCTCAGAAGGGCCTTCCCTGGCCACCTGGCGTGAGTGGCCTCCCCATCACTCTTGGTCACATCACCCGGCGTTTCCTTCAGCAGCCTGAGACTTGGAGAACCACTCTGGTCCCTGTGAGGGCGAGGGGTGCAGGGCTAGGCAGAGGGGAGGCTGGGCTATGAGGCAGCCGCAACAAAGGCCTCAGCCTGTCCCGCAGGAGCTCTGGAGCTGGGGCGGCCTTCAGAGACGTTTGCTCCAAATCGGGAGGGGGAGCTGTGATGGTTAATTTTACGTGTCAGCCTGACTGGGCCACAGGGGTGCCCGGACTGCACATTATTCCTGGGCATGTCCGGAGGCTGAATCCAGTTAAGCAGCTGGGCCCTCCCCCGACGAGGGGGCCTGAGTAGAACAAAGGTCAGAGGACGGAGGAGCCCACCCTCCTCCGCCTGGCTGCTGGGCTGGGCCATCTCTTATCTTCTCATCTACTGATTCTGTTCCTCTGACTAACACAGAGGCCTTTGCCAACACTGACCCATGTCGCTAACTGGACACAGGCCGCTCCTGGGCAGGGGGCGAGACCTTGCCTCCCTAGGGAGCGGGGACTCCAGCACTCCATGGGGGGATCAGGTGGAACCAGCGTATCAAGCACGGCCCTCGGCCCTCTGGGAATGATCGTCTGTTTCTCAGTCTCCGAGTCCTAAGCGGCAGGCGCTCCTGTCTCCCTCATTGTCCCGTGGGGCTCGCACGCCTGCAGACAGTAAGAGCCCAGCAAACACCACCGATGACGGATAACTAGGGAACAGCTGGGAGCTGTGTCTGTGTTCAGGAGTCACAGAACATTCCCAGCTGGAGACAACCTGGTCTAACCTCTCACTCTAGAGTGGAGAAACTGAGGCTCAGAGAGGGGAGTGAGGCTCTAAACCACACAGAGAATCAGCAGCGAAGGCAGGACTTGAACTCAGCTGTCAAACCAGCACATGGATGGCCAGATGTAGGGGACAGCAGCAGAGGGGGCCCCTCTCTGAATCTGAAGGCACGCCCCGAGCCGAGAGAAAGGAGAGCCTGAAAGTTAACGACTGAAACTTCTGATGACTTCGATCGATCCATCAATAAATGTTTCACCCTCTCCTGGTGTCTTCTTCCTCCTTACTTCTCCCAGGGCCCCTGTCCCTGCCTACCTCTCTCTTGATGCTGCCCCTCCAGGTTGGGGTCTCTCTCCCTCCTCCTCCCCCTAGCAGACATGGGGATGCTGCTCTTAGTCCCCGACTCCAGGACATCACACCAGGGCAGGCTGCAATGGAAGGAGACAGAGAGACGGAGCCAGGGGCCAGAGGCCAGGCTGGCAAGACCAAAGTGACCCGGATGGGCAGCTGCTGTCAAGAACTGGGGCCCCCAAGGAACGAACTCCTCACCCCCCAATGCCAGGAAGAGGAAACCTGGACTCACTGGGACTGGGAGGCTTGAGGCTGGGGACATGGTAGCTGACACAGGGTCAGGAGGCTTCACGCAGACAGTGGAGGCCGGTGAGCCTGCTGCATTCTTCCTCGTGGTGAGGACAACCTTAGTGGAGTCGGAAGTCCTGGCCCAAATCGCTGGGGTCAGCGCGGTGCCTGGGGTTAGGCCTGACTCTCCAGTGAGGGCTGAAGCTATTACTCAGCCAATTCCAGCCCCTGCTTCCCTGCTTAACTTTCAGAAAACTTAAGTGACTCTTCCAAGGGGCCGCGATGACACTGGGGCTGTGTGTGCGTCCACAGCAGGTCTGTTGGCCACAGTGTCCCTGCTCCCCCGTGCGACAGTGCTGACTAGAGTGTGCTTCCCTGCTCCGTGTGCATGTGTGTGAGTGTGTACGTGCATGTTGTCCCCTCCAGACCGTGAACGCCTCCAGGGCAGAGTCCAGCCCAGCCTAGGGGCTCAGACACCATGTGTTGAATAAGTAACGAGAAAGTGTTTTGAAAACTCTGCCATCAACTTCCTCAGGAGGCAAAAAAAGCCCCACAGAACCAAACTCGGAAAGTGCTGAACCATGCAGCTGTCCTTGGCCCAGTCTCAGTGGTGAGGTTGGGAAGCCCAACTTGCTGTGTGACCTTAGGCAAGTCACTTTCCCTTTCTGGGCCTCAGATTCCTTTCTGCACAATGGGGAGAGCAGGACTAACCTCATGTTCTAACCTTGGACATGTGCTGCCCAGCCGCACGTGGTAAGTTCACCTGAGCAGACACCAAGGCTCCAAGAACCTTGAGGTATCTGGGGAAGGAGGTCACAGTGCCAGGAAACAGCACAGAGTACAGAATTCAA